CCAATGGTGATGTGTGGGTTTAGATGGTGGAACTGGTGGTGGATCGATGGTAATGGGTGGTAGGAGTAAAAATTTATGTAATTAGATAAATAATAAATAAAAATAAAATTAATATGGTATAATTGTATAGATAATTATTAAGATTTAAAAAAACTGATTAATTTTTAAACTGTACTAATGATCTCAAATATTATTTATAAAAATTAACTTATTAATGTAATAGATTAAAAAATTAAACATTTTAGTGTTAAATTTTAAATTTTAATTTATATATGAAATACATAAATGAGAGGTTGGATAAATTTTTAAGATAAGAAAAATACTTATTTGGATTCTTAAATTTAATTTGGAGGGTATTTTTGATATTCTAGGAATCATTGTTGATGACATTAACTTTGACTGTGAATAATTCTAACATCCGTTAGTTAGAAGGGATAGGGTTGTTACAAGTATTAAATGTCAATGGAGTTCGGTGTTATTTTTAAAATATGAGGGGTATCTATGCAATAAAATCAAATGTCAAGGGGTGTCAATATAATTTACCCTAAAATTTTAATTCTGTTTGTCCTCACGTTCTACCCAGTATCCTATGTATAAGCCTTTTTGGGCAGCTAAAAACACAAATTATTGTGAGTGGCCGTTGTAATTAGTACACTTGGAAGTTGGACGCTTAGAAATGCGTTTCTTATGAAAATGCGGCATACAATGGGGCAGGTGTGTCAGGGCATCATCAAGGCGGTGTACAGCAACAGTTAGGGTGTTCCCCCTATTCGACGCATAAAAAATATTGTCTTTCTTTTATTTATTCAATATTTTAAGGAAGAATTTTTTCTTGATCTATTAAAAAATCGGGTAAACACTTTTGTAACTATTAATTTTTAAATTATTTTAACAATTTAATTAAATAACATGCAACATTCAAGGGGACAAGTGTGTCAGGGCATCATCAAGGCGGTGTACAGCTACAGTTAGGGTGTTCACCCTATTCGACGGATAAAAAATAGTCTTTCTTTTTTCTACCCGATATTTTAAGGAAGAATTTTTTCTTGATCTACCCTACCCGATCAGGTGTGGTATTCCTACTCGATTAAGAAATCGGGTAAACACTTTTGTAGCTATTAATTTTTAAATTATTTTAATAATTCAATTAAATAACATGCGGCATTCAATGGGACAGGTGTGTCAGGGCATCATCAAGGCGGTGCACAGCAACAGTTAGGGTGTTCACCCTATTCAACGGATAAAAAATATTGTCTTTCTTCTTTCTACCTGATATTTTAAGGAAGAATTTTTTCTTGATCTACCCTACCCGATTAGGTGTAGTATTCCTACTTGATTAAGAAATCGGATAAACACTTTTATAGTTATTAATTTTTAAATAATTCGAACAATTCAATTAAATAACATGTGGCATTCAATGGTGCAAGTGTGTCAGGGCATCATCAAGGCGGTGTACAACAACAGTTAGGGTGTTCACCCTATTCGACGGATAAAAAATAGTCTTTCTTCTTTCTACCTGATATTTTAAGGAAGAATTTTTTCTTGATCTACTCTACCGGATCAGGTGTGGTATTCCTACTCGATTAAGAAATCGGGTAAACACTTTTGTAGCTATTAATTTTTAGATCATTTTAACAATTCAATTAAATAACATGCATCAATTTAACAACACAATAAATTAATAACACTAAAACCTAAAACAACAATTACAATAAAACATAAGAAAGAATGAACATCAATATATCATAATTGTTACACAAATACAAACAATTATTTTAATTTTAAACCATATGAAACACATTAAAATCATAATTATTCCAATAATTCACCACAAATCATGTAACCTAAACAAAAAACAAGTCCATATTTTCGCAACTCAAACATTCACAATAATAACAATGTTATAATATAAATTATACCACACAAATATTTTTATAATTATTAAAAAAATTAAATATATTTTTTGTAAGTAGGATAAAGTAAGAATAAAAAAATTGATGAGTATTTTACATTCTTACCTGATTTAATCGAAAGACCAAAAATTCTTCGACATTCCTACTCAATTTTTGCGATTAAGCGTTCAGTAGGGTAAGGTCAGGTCGGGTAAGATAGAAAATGACGATCAATCGAAAATTTGAATACCTCTAGTAACAACAAGGTTCAAGTAATTTTTTATTTTATTAATTATTTTTTATTATAAAATTCTTCCGAATTCAAACGTTGACCATAGTAACATCAACAAAATTAAAACATGTCCCATAAAGAAGAACAAAGGTAAAAGTATGAAAAATATTAAACTTGAAATCTCTAAATTACGAGAAATTAAACTCAATTACTAAACGACTCCTGAGAGTTCAAATTCAAATAATTTTGTTATTTATAGGCTGGCCTGTTTGGTTAATTTAACAAACGACGTAATTGAACAATTGGCTGATTGCGTTTACTATGATCCATAGGAAAAACTACAAAGAAAAACAGATTACACACAAGCATGGAGTAATGTTGAGAGGAAAAAAGAGAAACAAAAACAAAGTTATGAACCCTCTTATTACGGGGTCCGAAAGAAGCAAGTGGTGAGGAACGTTGCATCCATTTTGGAGAAGATAATTCCAAACTCGAACCTGCGACATAATGCATGATCGGATGGGTAGGTGTTATCATTAACCAAACAAAACAGATTTAGAACACTTCATTGGCAAAAGTTAAAGGCATCTATGAGCTAGTCAAGAATATGGGCTCAATGGTTCAAGAAAAAACCTTAAATGTGCACCGACTCAGTTACTCTTCTATAGTATATATTTTCAATTCGTCGGGCATTTCCTTGAGGCTGGAATCTGTTATTTTCTTCAAGATCCCTGAGACAAGTTCTAGATTTTACGTTTAGTAACATCTACAAGTGAGTACCTATTCCCCAATAAGCAAAGTCAGTTGCAAAATAAACATTCCAAAAAACTTGTGTCTCAACAGTCAATCCTCCAATCATGTTAAATTGTTCGCTTTCATCAGGCTGGTCTTTACGTGATTAAGTGTGTGGTAAACCTGTAACCATTTTCAAAACCTGCATTGCCTCTATATAGTTGCAGACCAAAAAACAAGCAATCAGCAGACAAAGAAACATATCGAACAGAGAGCTACAAACAAGTATATGATACAAGGAATATGAAGCTCCGGGATAGCAATACAAAGTTGGCTGCAGGGCTATAGGTAAATAGAAAACCTGAAAGGAAGAAGAAAAGATTAAAAATTAATAAGTTGATATAGAATCGAAGGCAACAAAAACAACGAGAATCATTAAGTTTTACGAACTTTGGCATTATTGAGAATCTGTCTAGCAAGGATGTGTTATGCAAGTGTTTTCCTTCATATGAACCTAGCCAACTCAGTCTGAAGCTATTGGCAACATCTTTCTGGTTCTCCTTCCTCATGACTTGAGTAAAGAGATACCAGTGACAGTATCTCCCAATAATTTCTCATCCACTGATTTAAACCAATGCAATAGTTCCGCTTGACATATTGACTTAAATAAGTTGTTCTTGAAAATTATGTATCATAACTATGTCATTAAAACCCTTATCTAGCAAGGCATTCCTTTACATACTATTTATGTGTGAGGTGCCTCTTTGGTTTCATTTAAAGAGCACAGCCAAACATAATGGAAGTATGCAGTTAAGGACCAATATAAATTGCATGATAACATCAGAGAAAGCAACAATCAAAGAGCACAGTCACAGATCTAAAGTCTAAAGATCAAAATATTTTATAGGCCATTCCAGGTATGGGAGTTTAAGGCAATGGCCGAGTTCAGGGAGATTTTTGCACAGAGGAAATGGTTTGAGGGGAGGAAGCGTTGGAGGATGACATCCAACAGGGTGCAGGTGCATCCAAATCTGAGAAAATGTGAAAAAATTTCAAACTTTCTATTTATTTTTTTTTTGAATCGTAAACACATTGGGTCATGTGGAGTAACTTCCAAGACACATTTTATTTTTTAAAACTGAAAATGAAGAGGGTCAATATAAATATCAAAAGAATCAAGAGAAAAAGTAACCACCTTACAACTAGGGGTGTCAATCATGTCGGGTTAAACAGTTATGTGTTGGATTAAACGGGTGACGGGTGACAGATGAAAAACATACAAACCCATACACGACATATTTAATAAACGAGTAAATATTTTCAACACGAACATGAATCGTTAAATAAACGGGTAACACGACACGACTCGTTTAACCCATTTAAAAATAAAAAATAAAAAATTATTATTTTAACAAATTTTTATACTCCATTTTTTTTTACTTCCAACTATACTTTCCTCAATTGGAGGAGTTCTAGCCAGCAGTCAACAATCCAAGTTATAAGCCACGCCACCAAAGTTAGCTAAAAGGAGGAGGCCCATTTATAGGCAACTAAATTGCCCTCCCCACTGCCCTGTGTCGATGTGGGATTCAAATAAAATGCCCCTCAATGACTCAAAGCTTTTGTTTCCTAATTTTTGTGAACTGATNGCAATTTGTTATGTACATTAAATTTTTTACACTAATGTTTTGTTTGGTACGATGAAAAAATGAAATAATAAAAAATTAATATGATGAAAAATTAGAGGAATAGATAAAACATCATGTTTCGTAAGGAAGGAAAAAAAAAATAGACGGATGAACATTCCTTCTGACTTACTAAAATCAATTCCTCAAAAAATGGGTAGAAAAAGATGAAAAACGGTACTCANTTTATATATATATATATATATATATATAAAATAATTATTAATTTATTATTATATTAATTTTATTTAAACGGGTAATAAACGAATTGACATGTCTCACCCGAATACGACCCGTTTACCATCCAAACCCGTTTAATTCGTGTCGATTAATCGTGTCGTATCGAATTTTGACAGGCCTCTTTACAACCATTAGATCTTAAAAGAGTTTAAAAAAAATTGGGAAGGGAAAAAGAGAGAGATAAAACTACTCACAATCTCTACCATCTGTCACAGACATCCAGTGATCATCGATAACACATTCATCACAGTAAAAGTCCTAATTCTTTTTTCGTAAGATTTTTTTCCTTCATTAAAATATCATGAGTATTGTGTATAGGTCTTCCAATTATATTGCAAGACTATGTTGACCTCTTAGAGTTTGAGACTTGAAATAATAGATCAATGTTTTGAACTCGATTGTGATCTTCCAATAATATTCCTACTTTTTCAAGAATTTTTTTTATTAGCATGTCTATGTTGTGTCGTATCTGTACTCATGTTCATATCCCTACTACTTTGGGTCTCATGTATAAGAACTTAGGGAGTCAATCATCTACAGACACATTGAAATTAGCCAAGAAGATATTGCATCCTTTATTATCTCCGTTCAGTGTTCCATGAAGTTTCTTAGATCTGAACCTTAAGAACCATAGGCAAGGAAGAGGGTGACTTCATTTGTTGCTCATTTGTGCTTATGCGGTTCATTTGAGGAAAGCAGAACCAGGGATCTTTGGAAGGAGCAGCGCACCAGTACACAGACAGTAAATTTTGCAGTTTGTGGGTTGCTTATGGATCATCATTGTTCCCAAATGGAAACGTTAATATTATGTAGATGAGTTCCTTCAATTTTGGTGCTCTAAGACAATATCCTTGACTTATGCAAGAAAAAGTAAAGGAATACAAAAAACTATGAAAAAATTAGAATAAATTAAATTGCAGAAAATGAAACAAGTAATATATCTAAGATGGATACAACGATCTTTTACCTCAGTCAGCTCACTTTACGTGTACTTCAATGATGTCATTGTCCTCCATCTCAAGGTCTATTGGAGTTGCTGTGGGACTGATTTTATCTCCATCAAAGCAAAAAATTAAGCTTTGTAGATTAAGCTTGACTTTATCTGCATACATCTTGAAGAGCCGCTCAAACTTGTCATCCTATTATAATTAGGAAACTTTTGATCACCAAAGTCATAATTTCATTCTCATAAGAAATATAGAAGCACATGAATCCTAATGTTGCAAACATACTATAAAAGAACTGCAACATAAGATTACATGACACCCAAGAATATATTTGAAGGAAACAATGAAACATGTTTAGCCTTCCTGATTGACTAGGAAATGTAATTACAGAAAACATTAGAGATGTGTATTCCAGACCATCCAAATGAATGGCAAAATTGGATTCTCATGAAATGTGATCGTCCTCAAAAACAAGATTCTTTATATAACAGTTCTGGACATTTATAACAGAAGGGTTAATACAGTAAAATTCTAGACTAAATTTCTAAAGATGCAGGACAACACGAATTTCTCTCCTGCAAAAAGACGGGAGAGAACCATAACAGAAGGGTTAAGGTTAAAACCTTTATAACACGTCCTGGACTTTCCATTGTCGTACAAACTCCAGAAATGTTTATTTTTCACACTTTTCGTATATTGTGACTGCATATATATTTTTTTTCAAGAGCATAAAGAAAGACAAAATTTGATTATCTCTCCTAGGCCAATGATATAACAGAACAATTGACTACTAGGTGGCAAGCAAATTACATGTTCCACAAAAATTTCCAATACTTTCTGCACAAAGGTGCATACCATGTATACCCGAAATTGCTTGAGTTCATCCTTGTCCTGGATAGAAATAACTATTTTAGCTCTTTCACAGGAAGACTTTGATGGCTGCTCTGCAACACTTTCTAAACAAGATTGCATTGAGGAACTAAGATTTCTTTTAATAGACTCTTCAACAGTTCGCAACATGTCTTCAGCTGATTGGGCAAATGATACCAGTTCCTGTTTCTTTAATCTATACAAAACAAAACATTAAAAAAAAAAAAAAAAAAAAAAATAAGGAAGAATACTAAACACATGTAATACCCACTACACCCGATCTAGTAAAGCTATAAAAATTGACCAAAGTCACAATGTTTGATCAACATTCAAAGCTTATGTGTGTAGATAATTAGGAATGTGAAACTTTTGTAATGCAATGCATTACACTATTTCAACCACACGCTAATGGATAGAATAAAGCAACATGCACATCAAGATGGGCAAGAGAAACTCCACATAATATGGGTGTGACAACTTGCCCACATCCAATCACTGTCCTCACTATCCAGAAGGAGATTCTTATTATTTTCCAGCTCTGGTTATACCTTGGGTTCCAAGATGAGAACGTTGTTATTCTTAGAATTCTTAATTCCTGTTTCATTTATCACCAAGTGTAGAATCACGTGACAGACAAAAACAATCTCAGTCATTGCCCCAATAGTTAATCACCCAGCTTTGAGCATCCCTTTAAAGGTTTAGGTTTTCCAATTGCACTCGTTTCTAAGTTAAAGTCTTCTCTACCCTTATATTACGAACCAACATTATTGATCACCTAGAAATAACGTATGCATAGTTGTGCCCTGATTTTTGACGAAATGAAAAAGACATATATGGTATAATTGTATCCATAGAAAACAACCCTAATCGAAATGCATACATAAAAATTAGTAAGGTACCCAAATATTCCTGGGCTACGATATATCCGGGCCATCATCTAGGTCATCCTATCATCTTGATCTATGAGCTAGCTAAATGTAAACATTTTATCCTATTTTTCACCCACTTCTCAAATTACTCTGGTATCCATAGAGAATAAATTGAAGCAAACTTTATGATATTTGATTAAATGGCTTTTAGTTATCAAGACACTGAAGGAAAGGAAAGAAATAAATCAATTAATATTGAATTTTGATCCTTTCCTCTCAAATTTATCCATGTTTTCTAACTTATTTGTCAGGAAAATCCGCTCTCCTCGGATTTATAAAAAATCTCACTTTTCATTACACAAAATCTTTCTTTTCTCATAGTTCTACATCACTATAAAGGAAACTAAAATACCCCTTATATTCTTCTTCATATTCAAGGTTCCCAATTTCCCAGTTGGAGCCCAATGGATTTTTTGATGTTTCAAAGACATACAATAATATTAAGATCACAAGTATTTATCGGCTTGTTACAACATATTTCAACTTAATAATTCACCTGCAAGTTTAATTCACCAAGAGCTCAATACAAGAAATTACAACAAATTTCAATTATTTTTCCACAAGAATGAAAAATTTTTCAGGAGTCTAACAAATATGTAATCCAACAGTCCTATACCTCATCTCCTTTATGGTTGAACCCTCTAAAAGCTTCTTTGATTCATCTAAAACCTTGGGAGGAGGAGGCAACCAATCCTCCTCTTCTTTGTCTTCACAATCAACAATCTCTATAGCATTCCCATTCTTTACTTCCTTTCCAACCTAATCACAATTAACAACTCATTAACATAACCAAAAATCATTAAGGATAGACTAAAGAGAGATCATTACTGCAGAATCGGGGATTTTCCTTCTTTTTGGAGCATAAGCTGGGGATGAATCGGAACAGTCATCTGCCAATTCAACACAGAATATTAAATGTGTGAGTGTGTGAACAACAAGTTAGAGGACTTAGTCCACTAACAAAACGTGTGTCGAAGAGAACTGACCGTCAAGGCAGACAAGATCGATAGGCTGAACGCGACTGTAATCAAAGAGGGGTTCGAGTTCTTCGGTTGAGTCCGCCTGTAATCAGAAGAATACATAAAACTAAATTCAGAAACCCTATGAAAACTTTTGCTTGGAGGACAGAAGCTAGAAGACGACGAGATTCACCATTGCTGAAATCCTCAGCCCTCTCTCTCTCTCTCTCTCTTCCAATTCGTGCGTAGTTGATACTTGGTGGGATTCGATTGTCCCGCCTAAACACGGGTTAACATAGTAGAGCGTATTTCGTTTCAATTAATTTCAATTATCCATTTGTTAATATGGACCGAATTATATATTTCGAATCACTTTTTTTTATTTTTTTAATTATCTCTTTTTTTTTATCACTTAAAAAATTAGATAAATAATTATAAAAAATTTGTTTGAGTGATAAACAATTAATTTCAGTTTTTCACTTGAATAAAACCTTTTAATATTGACTAAAATATATATATATATATATATCAATCGCTGCACAGGATTATAATTTGTGCCACTTTTTTATTTTTTTTATTTATCTCATTTTTTATTTTATCACTTAAACAATTAGATAAATAATTATAAAAATTATCGAATAGAGGTCATTATCTAGTTTAATCGTGTTAAAATTAATTTCTCAAATAATTATTCATTAAAAACATCTGAATTAGTTTTGATTTTCTTAAGATTCTTCGTCATATGTCCCCTCTTTGAAAATGGGCCCCGNTAGATAAATAATTATAAAAATTATCGAATAGAGGTCATTATCTAGTTTAATCGTGTTAAAATTAATTTCTCAAATAATTATTCATTAAAAACATCCGAATTAGTTTTGATTTTCTTAAGATTTTTCGCCATATGTCCCCTCTTTGAAAATGGGCCCCAGTTCGGATTGCATACCGAAATACACCAAAGAAAAAATACATGTAATGGCATTTTAAGCAAAAAAATAACTATCCACGTGTTCAGTACGTGCATGTTCCAAACTATAAACACAATTTCCAAAGTCCCCGTAAAGGGGTAGAGTCATCCATCCCCCACAGAAAACCTGCTACGACAAGTAAAATACCATAGTGCTCTCTCTCTCTCTCTCATATCAATAATCTAGACTAAGAGTAAGTTAAAATTGCCAGGAAAATTAGCTTCTTCGGGCCTTCAAGATCAAAAACCTCTGTTTGATGGGCATTGACAACCATTTTTGGTACTTTACGAATGATCCCATCCNCTCTCATATCAATAATCTAGACTAAGAGTAAGTTAAAATTGCCAGGAAAATTAGCTTTTTCGGGCCTTCAAGATCAAAAACCTCTGTTTGATGGGCATTGACAACCATTTTTGGTACTTTACGAATGATCCCATCTACATTTTCATGGGAGTGGTCACCAAAAAGGCAAACTGCGAGTGTGTAGTCTACTGTAATCTATCGTGTCAATCAGGACTCGACTTGAACCTCCATCACTTGCATATCGAGACCATTCTCAGGACTGGCTAATTGTGAGTTGACGCCTGATTCCTCTAATGCTCGGAAATATGCACAAGGCCCCCATCCTGAAGTCAAAAGAGAGTGCAGCAGGAGCTCTAAATACTGATGCTTTATAAATGACATAGATAAAATGACTTTAGCTTGCTGTAATTCCAAGTTTTCATTTGCTTATTCTAATTTTTCAGAAATTACTAATAAATTGGCTATTGTTGCTAACCACGGGTCCCTTCCAAACACTAGACACTCAACTCAAAAAAAATACACTAATACTACCACAATCAAGGGGGCACGGTTTCTTTTAAATAGCCTTTTCACAAGGAAACTAACCTTGCAGATTGCTTCAATGATTAGAAGCAGTAAAATATAATCCTCCTTTTTTAAAACAAAAGGAAAAGTATTGGCGAATCTTATATGCTTAGATGATCAGATCAAAACTAGAAGCCTATATGAAAGGACAGCATTAGAGATAAACAATGTCATCTCTGTTTATCAGATGCTAGGATGTCCCATTGAAGATTCTTTCCTATCAGNCAGATCAAAACTAGAAGCCTATATGAAAGGACAGCATTAGAGATAAACAATGTCATCCCTGTTTATCAGATGCTAGGATGTCCCATTGAAGATTCTTTCCTATCAGTTTTTGGTATAAGTCCATCATGTTCTCTGGCAATTTAAAGAACTAAATGTTACTGACCCTACTTTAAGAAAATTTCAAGAATTGAACAACATCCTCATTTATATATGTCTTAGTACTTCGCGTTGTCATGCTCAAAAATTGTATTAAAATGCTATGTTACAACAATGATTTGTGTCAGTTTTAATACAACAGAAAGATGTCAGTGGGAAGATCTCGTAAACCAAATCATAGTTCAATGACATGTGATGATCATGTATGATAAGCTTCCTAAGACTAATACATCACAAATATAACAGTAAAGATTATGAAAGGTACAGCAGAAAGATAAATCAAAAAGAATTATAGCAAAAGAGNTAATACAACAGAAAGATGTCAGTGGGAAGATCTCGTAAACCAAATCATAGTTCAATGTCATGTGATGATCATGTATGATAAGCTTCCTAAGACTAATACATCACAAATATAACAGTAAAGATTATCAAAGGTACAGCAGAAAGATAAATCAAAAAGAATTATAGCAAAAGAGGAAAGAACCAAATAAAGAAACGAGAACTTACCTTCATTGTGATATGGAGGTGGGAAAAACTGCAAGTAGCAAAATGTCGAGACAACTAGTCCTGAAAAAAGGAAAGTAAAATTGTACCAATGAAATGCAAGTTTGATTGGAATATCTCTGATAACTTGCAAGATTGGGAATGACAAACCTAGAAGACCTCCTGCAAATACATCTTGCCAATGATGCTTATAGTCATCCAACCGAGAAACACCAACAAGAGATGCAAGGAGGAGAGGAAGAAAAACAATGCATAGTTTTGCAATGTACCCCCTGCGATCAAAAGCTTTTATTTTGCCTGATAAGTACAGTGATAGAAAACTTAGACCTGCAAAGGACCCTGCAAAATAATTCAAAACAGGTTCAGGGACTGCTGAGCGAATGAACCATGCAGATAGAGCACATTTGTTTGCTTTCCTTAATGAAGTCAGTCAGTTAGATCTCTAGTCCAATGTTTCAGAAGTTTCTGTGATCCACATAAGCTCCTCTTACATGAATTTAAGTCTCAAATTTATGCTGTCTAAATAATAAGCACTATGATAATCCTACCTAAAAGAACATAAATTCGAACCCCAGACAATTTTACTTCTACAATTTCTGATAGTGGACCCAATCAAGTGATTTAAGATAACAGCTGGAGGCTTGGCAAGAAATTTTGCTTACATGAAGTATGACCACTTGGGAAACTCTTATGCCCTTCCTTTATATCACTATCTTTACCATGGCATATTACGTTTCCCCACTTATCATATTTCTGAAAGAGAAGAGAAATATATAAATCAGTGATCAAGCATGTAACATTTATTAGCCACAAAAATAAAGTGACCTATTCTAGGTTCAGCTTTTATTGGCAACATTCCAAGTACCTTTGAAAATAAATTCATACAAATATGGTTCAACAATGTAACAGAGAAATAAAGTTTATAAAATATTTGTACAAATTATTTGTAAGAGATCCCCAGGATTTTGCTACATTCGCCAAATTTCGTGAATAAAACACGAAGGATTGTACATAACTAGTCAGGTATTTGGTAATGCAAATCAAGAATTTGTGCCCCTAAATAATTCAAAGAGTTATTAAACTACAATGTATTTGGTAAAATGCAGGACATACACCCTGTCCATCTGGAAAGCAACGCCAAAAGAAGTCAGGTCGAGGCCAACCAACTGCATTTTTTATTGCATCAGTAAGGCACCAGGTTATCAGCACAGCAAATAAAAGGCCTGCATTATTCAATATATGTAAGTCACTAGTTAAACAAGCTAATTCCTTTGCTAGCAGCCAAAGAAGGGATTCCCTTGTACTAATTACAAAGAACCAAAAAAAGAAAAGAGAAGAAAGAACAAAAAGGGCTTCCTGCTTGTTATTAAAAAGCATCAACAATTTCTACCTAGTATGCTGTGATGCAGATCATAGACATCCTTCCTTCGAAGATAGAATACAAGAAAAATTGCAATTGGCAACAAAGCTGCATACATCTGATCATCATTAGAAAAAAAGATTAATCAGTTCTACTTTCTTCTGGCAAAATCCCACCTGGTGACGCATGACTTGTAAAGTTTTTGTGAGACATAAAAACAATATGATTTCATTCAATATTCTGTAACATTTTATGGTGACTAGCAACCATTTATGATGAACAAAAGTAATAGCTGAAGGATATATGCAGCTATTGAAAATGAAAATTTGCTTGACTACCATCACCTCTTAGTAAATTAAGAACTCTTAATCATTGTCAAACAGCATAGATTTGTTTCCAACTATGTGCAAATTCAACTACATCGACTACCAATTTCATGGGTATTCTTTACAACTCAGTTAGACTAGATAATGAAAGGTAAAGAGAAACTCACAGGAACAGCCCAGAAAGGCACCGTATTTTCCTTCATGGGATACTTAAGGTCTGACATCATATGCTCCCCAACAAAGCAATAAAAGGGATGTATGATGTTTAAAACGATCTCTATGACTACAAGGAGCAGCAATATAAGCCAATCATGGATATGAATCCTTGCAACATGGGCTCCATGAGACTTAATAGTATGTGTACCAAACTCAACCTCCCTTTCTCTGCCCTGATAACAGAAAAAAAAATATTAGTAGGATTCAAACTGGATGATGGAGTTGTCAAGCAAACTATGCATTCTACGAAAGCACTACAAATGGAAATTGGCAAAAGACAAATGCATTGGCAGCAAAAACAATGAAATCTATGGATTCTTTAATCAGTGAATTGATTTACAAAGACACAACTGATTTTTTATGTTTACTGAATTCAAACTCTGGAACCGAGAGAAAAGCATGAGTTAACCTTGTGAAATAATGTTGTACAAGTATTAAAGGAAACAGCTTGAACTTTTTTTCATTTAAACTTCTGAAGAATTAACAATGCAATTCTTGGGAAAATTTCTATGTTGCACAAATCAGTCAGAGTTTTCATCACTTCTCTGGCAAGAAGGGAAGGGAATCTACTACTATAAGTTACTTTGTTCAAACTTACAAGTCTATTTCTGCTATTACAATTTGTCACTTATACGGGAGGGAAGCTCTGTATTCTCAACTTGAGTGAACGATGAAGAACAGACAACATTGGGTAGTCTTGGCAGAATCATTCCTATTAGACCAAATGCTCTAGCCTCTGTAAAAATACTTAGACAAAGAAGAAATGATTATCATAGAACTCAAAATCCCTACTGATTTGGTAAATCAGAACGGGTGCACACCATGTCAAGCTAGTCCCATTGCTCAGCTTTTGCAATCCAGTGATCACTATTCAGATCAAGAAACTTTGCACCAAAAGAACACCTCTCCATGTAGAACCTGATCTTTTGTTCCCATTAATATGTGCTATCATTGTTATTAGTATAGTATAGTACGTGATACGTATCATAAGATGCATCTTGATACATGGAGAAAACGATGTGTGTCACTTACGTGTATCGGATTTGCACCATATCACGCAATACACAATAAAAGACCATACGTCAAGTCGTCTAATACAGGGCAAACCAATTCAAAAAAATATTTGTTATATGACCCCATGGGCAGAATTCACCTTTGAAAACCGGCTTAAAAGGAAAGGGCGACAAAGAGTTAATAATATACACACATCTAAACTCATATTTAACAAATGCAGGATTGTAACATTCAACCATGCCATGTCCACAGCGCCCACTCCATTGTCAATGACCCAATGGTAACCTTTTCCCTTTGGTGGCTCTACTCACCCATCAATATTTAATGACTTAGCACTACGCCCATACATAATAGCAAGACATTTTAATCCAATCTATGGCTCGCCCCTTCCATAATCCGAACAACCAAGAGTTGCAACATGTACTACATACAATCCTATACGGTACGTAGTGGTATTGGATATAAACCTCTGGATGGAATTCACCCTTGAAAACCGGCATGCAAGGGAAGAATGCTCAAGAATTGATATGCTCACATCTGAGCTTGTATCTAACCGATTTGAGATCATAACAATATGACCAAGAATTCAACGTTTTGATACGTTCTGCAAATTCAGACTGCATACTATAAAAATGTATCATGTCATTCAGAATTCATCATATACACCATCAAAGCAAGATGCACCAAAACTAGCCAGACCTACTTTTCAAAATTTAACCAATCAGACCCATTTCTGTTAAGGCATAAAAATGGCTAAAAAGTGTCAATTTCTCCAATAAAAAATACGAGTTGATGGACTTATTGGATAATCATCTGTCACAAGTCACGATCAGTTAAATAAACAACAAATAACAGAGGAAAAGTGCACTAACCTGACACATATTTCCGAAATTTGGTAAGGGAGAATAAGGTAACAAATCCCTCCAACCCATATTCACAGAGCTCACCAATGATTAGATTACGCTGTTGATTGCTGAATTCTAAGAACAAACATAAGAAAAAAAAGGGTAAGAACTAGTAGAAACTTAAAAAAAGTGAAGAATACAAAAGGCTTATACAGTAAAGAAAAAAGAATTATATAGAGAATGGAGGAGCAATGCGAGAGAAAAAAAGTGAAATGATTCAAACCCAACTTGTTCATATACTTGGTAGATATTTTTCAAGAGGAAACTACCCGAAAATGAGAAAAGTATCCAAATGGGACCCATGACGCAGAGTTTTCCTCCCTGTAGTAATGGAGATTTTAGACGTTATGGTGGGGAATTGGGGATGGCAATTCGAAAATATGAAAAATGAAATGGCTTTGCCCAGATACGAAGTACACACTATCTTAAAGTCTCCCTGGTGCCGCCATATTGAAATAACCATATGTTTCCATCCAACACTGGAGTGATCTAGTTGGTAAAGGGGTATCAAAATAAGGAATAAGGTGAACATGATACAAAATTTGAAGGTTTTTATTTTTATTAAGTCACTCATTTTGAAGATCAGTGTATTCAATACTAAACTATTAATAAACGGATTAAATATAAGTAGAATCAATCAAAAAAATATATGATATAACTAGTTTATATACTGAATATATACGATATGAACTCGATATAATACAATTTGTTAGACACAGAATTAATAAACGAATCGGATATGAATGAAACATTTTTCAACACAAATCTGATAAGATCCGATATGCACTCGCGCTCACTCTCACAAATCCAAAACGAACTCGTCTCACCAGATACCGGCATATTCACACATGGAGTANCAATAAAAAATACGAGTTGATGGACTTATTGGATAATCATCTGTCACAAGTCACGATCAGTTAAATAAACAACAAATAACAGAGGAAAAGTGCACTAACCTGACACATATTTCCGAAATTTGGTAAGGGAGAATAAGGTAACAAATCCCTCCAACCCATATTCACAGAGCTCACCAATGATTAGATTACGCTGTTGATTGCTGAATTCTAAGAACAAACATAAGAAAAAAAAGGGTAAGAACTAGTAGAAACTAAAAAAAAGTGAAGAATACAAAAGGCTTATACAGTAAAGAAAAAAGAATTATATAGAGAATGGAGGAGCAATGCGAGAGAAAAAAAGTGAAATGATTCAAACCCAACTTGTTCATATACTTGGTAGATATTTTTCAAGAGGAAACTACCCGAAAATGAGAAAAGTATCCAAATGGGACCCATGACGTAGAGTTTTCCTCCCTGTAGTAATGGAGATTTTAGACGTTATGGTGGGGAATTGGGGATGGCAATTCGAAAATATGAAAAATGAAATGGCTTTGCCCAGATACGAAGTACACACTATCTTAAAGTCTCCCTGGTGCCGCCATATTGAAATAACCATATGTTTCCATCCAACACTGGAGTGATCTAGTTGGTAAAGGGGTATCAAAATAAGGAATAAGGTGAACATGATACAAAATTTGAAGGTTTTTATTTTTATTAAGTCACTCATTTTGAAGATCAGTGTATTCAATACTAAACTATTAATAAACGGATTAAATATAAGTAGAATCAATCAAAAAAATATATGATATAACTAGTTTATATACTGAATATATACGATATGAACTCGATATAATACAATTTGTTAGACACAGAATTAATAAACGAATCGGATATGAATGAAACATTTTTCAACACAAATCTGATAAGATCCGATATGCACTCGCGCTCACTCTCACAAATCCAAAACGAACTCGTCTCACCAGATACCGGCATATTCACACATGGAGTATTTAATCGAGCCACAAGAAGTTGCTCACGCCCAATCAAATTTGAATGTTGGTCTATGATTCAATAAGAGTAAGGAATTTGTGGAATTGATTTTATTTGATCCATTAACTAGATTTCTTTTTAAAACCGTGATTAACCCGAATGGGTCAATTTGAATTCGAATTTTATATAAATTTGACTTAATTGACCAACTCTTGATTTGGAAATAAAATTTGATTAACTAATGTAATTTTACCTGAATTAATTAATGCAATGGACTATATTTAATTTGGATTGCNTGTGCTATCATTGTTATTAGTATAGTATAGTACGTGATACGTATCATAAGATGCATCTTGATACATGGAGAAAACGATGTGTGTCACTTACGTGTATCGGATTTGCACCATATCACGCAATACACAATAAAAGACCATACGTCAAGTCGTCTAATACAGGGCAAACCAATTCAAAAAAATATTTGTTATATGACCCCATGGGCAGAATTCACCTTTGAAAACCGGCTTAAAAGGAAAGGGCGACAAAGAGTTAATAATATACACACATCTAAACTCATATTTAACAAATGCAGGATTGTAACATTCAACCATGCCATGTCCACAGCGCCCACTCCATTGTCAATGACCCAATGGTAACCTTTTCCCTTTGGTGGCTCTACTCACCCATCAATATTTAATGACTTAGCACTACGCCCATACATAATAGCAAGACATTTTAATCCAATCTATGGCTCGCCCCTTCCATAATCCGAACAACCAAGAGTTGCAACATGTACTACATACAATCCTATACGGTACGTAGTGGTATTGGATATAAACCTCTGGATGGAATTCACCCTTGAAAACCGGCATGGGAAGAATGCTCAAGAATTGATATGCTCACATCTGAGCTTGTATCTAACCGATTTGAGATCATAACAATATGACCAAGAATTCAACGTTTTGATACGTTCTGCAAATTCAGACTGCATACTATAAAAATGTATCATGTCATTCAGAATTCATCATATACACCATCAAAGCAAGATGCACCAAAACTAGCCAGACCTACTTTTCAAAATTTAACCAATCAGACCCATTTCTGTTAAGGCATAAAAATGGCTAAAAAGTGTCAATTTCTCCAATAAAAAATACGAGTTGATGGACTTATTGGATAATCATCTGTCACAAGTCACGATCAGTTAAATAAACAACAAATAACAGAGGAAAAGTGCACTAACCTGACAGATATTTCCGAAATTTGGTAAGGGAGAATAAGGTAACAAATCCCTCCAACCCATATTCACAGAGCTCACCAATGATTAGATTACGCTGTTGATTGCTGAATTCTAAGAACAAACATAAGAAAAAAAAGGGTAAGAACTAGTAGAAACTTAAAAAAAGTGAAGAATACAAAAGGCTTATACAGTAAAGAAAAAAGAATTATATAGAGAATGGAGGAGCAATGCGAGAGAAAAAAAGTGAAATGATTCAAACCCAACTTGTTCATATACTTGGTAGATATTTTTCAAGAGGAAACTACCCGAAAATGAGAAAAGTATCCAAATGGGACCCATGACGCAGAGTTTTCCTCCCTGTAGTAATGGAGATTTTAGACGTTATGGTGGGGAATTGGGGATGGCAATTCGAAAATATGAAAAATGAAATGGCTTTGCCCAGATACGAAGTACACACTATCTTAAAGTCTCCCTGGTGCCGCCATATTGAAATAACCATATGTTTCCATCCAACACTGGAGTGATCTAGTTGGTAAAGGGGTATCAAAATANTAGATTACGACAGCTGGAAAAGGACAATGTAAACGTCTTAAGCCGGCTCAACGAGTTTACCGCCTCTGGTGAAGGGTCGAGGGATTCTTTCCTTTCTCGTGGGCTTCCCGTCCGGGAGGCGAAAATGAAGGATCTAAGAAANGATAGATTACGACAGCTGGAAAAGGACAATGTAAACATCCTAAGCCGGCTCAACGAGTTTGCCGCCTCTGGCGAAGAGTTGAGGGATTCATTCCTTTCTGGTGGGCTTCCCACTCGGGAGGCGGAAACGAAGGATCTAAGAAACCACCTAAACAACAAGGCAGAAAGCTCTAGGGCCTCAAAGCGACCCAGAGCCAGCGAGCATCATCATGACAACCATTCAAGGAAGGTAAGGCCATTGGCCCTAGACGACCCCCGGCGAGGTTTGTCTAGACGGAGGAAGGGAGATGAATCCGAGGAGGACTCAACCCAATCCACACGACGCCCAGGAAATGAGGGGCTTACCGATGAACTCAAGAACTTCAGAAGGCATCCCGTCAGGGATGAAATTGATNCGACGCCCGGGAAATGAGGGACTTACCGACGAACTCAAGGACTTCAGAAGGCATTCCGCCAGGGAAGAAGTTGATCTCAGAGCCCGATTAGACTCCAGGAGAAAGGGTAAGGCTGTCCAGGATGAGGCCGAGGACGAAGTCATACAAACACCCTTTACAAGGGAGATCGGTGAGGTGGAGGTTTCAAGAAAGTTTGTCGTGCCGCGATTCAAAACTTATGACAGGCAGTCCGATCCCGAAGCCCATGTCAGGCAATACAAGCAGATGATGTCCCTCTATCATTCAGATCAACTGTTTCTCTGCCCGAGTGTTTCCTATGAGCTTGGGGGACTCTGCGATGAAGTGGTTCGAGGCGCTTCCCCCCAACAGTATTGGGTCATGGAAGGAATTGACGAAGCAGTTCCTGGCTCGATTCATTACAGGGAGTAAGCGCCCCAAAGACATTGGATCATTGTTGACCCTCAGACG